CCGGCGGGAGGCGGGGCGCAGCCTGGGCCGAGGGGCGGTACGCGGGGGGCGGGGTCACGTGCCGCCTGCCGCGGGGTGGAGGGCGCGGGCTGGCGCGGCAGAGAAAGGTGAGCTCTGGGCTGACCCGGTCCGCGGTGAGCGGCCCGGGGCAGGCCAAGTCCACGTGCGGGCAGGTAGGAAGGGGGCCCGGGCTCTTGGGGGCGGGCAAGAACGTCAGCAAAGCCGGACAGGGTGGGGAGCTGGGAGGGCGGAGACGCGGCGAGGCTGGGGACTGGCGGGCGAGCCTCGGCGAGGACGCGCGGCCCCCCACTGGCCCGCTGACCCCCCGCGGTGCGTGAGGGTCTCCCCGCCATCGCCCTCCTTTGGTTCCTTTTCGACGCCCAAAGGGCACGTGCTGGTACCTTCAGCCAGGGCGCGGTAATCGCGGAATGATAGGGAGGACTGTACAGTTCCCTCATTCGAATGGGAACATTCAAATTCAAAACAGCTTCTAACTCTGATCGGGAGGAAGAATAGATTGAATGCTGATAGGCCTCTAAACCCGGTAACGGCCATTTTAACGTGAGAGACCCCAAGAGGTTCTAAAATTAATTCCTTCCCCAAATTCTAGTCTGTAGTCTAACAGAGCTCTCTATTTTTACCAATGGAGTTATGAGGATCATGCAAATTGTACGACTTCCCCAGTTGAGCTCATGCAGCTTTTAATTTCGTGTGTTCCCGTGATTTATCCAGCTCTTCCCTTTTCTCTTTTCCTATTTCTCGAATCTTTTCCCTCTCGTTGGTTTCCATACTACCTGCGCACGCCCTCTCTTTTATTTGCTTTTTAGTTCTTCCCAAGTGTCTTTGCTTTTTTTCTTCTTGCGTGCATTCTCCTCCTTGACCATCACATCAGTTTCATCACATTGAACCTTCACTCTTGTGCTCCAGGTGCTGGCCTGATGCCTGCACGTTAATAACCTGTGAGTGCTCTAAACTCCTCTCAAACTGAACTAGTTCTCATCTTTCAGCCACACTTCAGAACCCGCTTTTCTTCCTGCATCCCGAATCACCCAGACTTAAGATTCATTTATTCAACAAACATTTTTGTGCCTTGAAAATGTGGCAGACACAGGATATGATGGTAAACAAGCAACTAATTCTAGTGTGGGGGCGTGAGGAGTGGAGAAGAGAGACACTAAAATCGGTTAACAAGACGTTATCAGACAGTGATATGATAAAGAGTGATTGGAGGGGTTGTTTTGGTTAGAGGGTGTCAGAAATGGCCTTTAGAACCCCCAAATTGTATACTTTGGTCAGCTCTGGGGAAAAACCAGCTCTCCTGACAAAGTGATTGTAATATTTATCAGGAAGAGTAAACTGACAAATAACTAAAAGAGTTTGAGACAGAGGAGTTACGCTATCAAATTATAAAACTATAGCATTTAAAACAGTGCTGTAGTACAAGAAGAGACAGCATTGAAACAGAATAGCCATGAACAAAAGAAAAACATGGATGTTTGTATGTACATATTTGTGCATTCATTTACATGAATTTATAAGAAAAGATCACAAATCTATGGGAAAGGATTAGTCAATAAACTGAAAAAAAAAGGAAAAAAATGGTCTTCAGTTTGGAAAGATTTCTGAGTAAAAAAATAACTTCTGTATACCAGCAATAACTAGAGAGTTTAAGAATAACAGAAGATATTTAAAATAGTATTCCAAACTAAAGTTATTTGGAAATAAATCACACTAAAGCTGTATAGTCCTTTAGGGAGAAAAATTTAAAGCTGTATTGACACGCAAAAGAAAACCCAAGTAAATGGAGAGCTATACAATATTTATGGATGAAATGACTCGATATCAAGATGTTAGTTTTCCCTAATTCTAAAAATTCAGTGCAATTTCAGTTAAACTTGCTGTATGGTTTTTCATGGCACTTGATGTGCTGAACCTAAAATATATATGAAAAGGCAAAGGACCAAGAATAGCTGAGTGTATTTTGAAGAAAAATAAAGTCTTTTCCTCCCAGGTAGCAAAACAATATAAAGCTGTAATAATTAAGACTACTGTCTTAATTACTGGTATTGGCTCAGGGATAGAAAGTAGACTCATGGAACAGAATGGAGATCCTAGAAAAAGCCTAGACTAGTCAGTAAATGTGGTATCCATACAGAATAAAGACAAAATTAGATGCCACTTCACACCATTCACAACAATCATTTCCAGGTGGATTAAAGTCTTAGATGTGAAAGATACATCTGTAAACCATTTAGAAAAAGATATAGGGGACTATATTGTCTCCAGGAAATACTTCTCTTTTTGTTTCCTTGTGGTTAAATACACAGAACATAAAATTTACCATTTTAGCCATTTTCAGGTGTACACGTGGTGTTCATGTTATTGTGCAGCCATCACCACTGTCTATCCCTAGAACTTTTTCATCTTCTGGGAAGGATTTCTTAAGTTACGAAAAGCACCACTGAGGATGCTATTGAGTTACTCCAAATGAGAGGTGATGGGGCTTAAGCTGGAATGGTGACAGTGAAGGTAGAGAAAAGTGGATGGATTTGGGGTATGTTTTGGTAGCAGCGAACAGGAATTGTGCAGGGTTTGGATAGGGGATGAGGGGAAAGCAAGGAACAAGGGCAACATTTAGGTTTTTTGCTTGAGCCGCGAGATGAATCATTTACCATTTATCATCAAAAACTACTTACCATTTATCTGGTGGCAATGCAGAGGATGAGTGGAGGAAGAATTGAGGGAGAAAAAATAAAGAATTCTCTTTTGGACAGTTTAAGTTTGAAAGGCTTGTTGGACATCCAAGTGGAAATGTTCCAGTAGCTGTTGGGTAGGTGGGTCTGGGAAGATTACAGTTGGCGATACAGCTTTGTGATCAGTGGCATGCAGATACTTAAAGCTCATGTGGTAGGATTAGATTCAGTTGCATCACAAGAAAATATACAATAATAATGCCTTAAATATGCATATAGTTCCATAGGTAGGCAGGCCACGGCTGGCATGGAAACAGTTCCATGAGCATCAGGGACTTGAAATCTTCGGTCTTGCTGGTAGTCTGCCATCCTTAGTATGCTTTCTCATGGTGGAGATGGCTGCTTTAATTCCAGCTGCCACTGCCATGGCAAGAGGGATGGTTGAAGAAAGGCACATACTTTTCTCTTTAAGGACACTTCTCAGAAGTTACACGTGACACATCCACTTACAACCCGTTAGCCAGTTCTTGGGGACGATACTTAACTAGAGGTAAATATAGACAATGTAGCCTTTATTCGTTTTGGTGTGCCCAGCTATAATTCAGTGGTTTTATTAATAAGAATGAAGAGGAGAATGGATGTTTAGTTCCAGTCCGGTTTCTTTGCTGACTAAGGCAACGAAGCTACCACTATAAAGGCTCCAGGGAGCTCCCTGTCAAATTTATTGGAATTTTAAATATTTGTCTCATATGGTACTGTTTTGTTTCCTTTTTACTTTCTGTGTCCTTCTTCTTAGTTTCCTCAATTTCTCCTCTGTTCTCTGCTTAAAATTAGTTTCAGATTTACTGCAATCGCAATCATAATCTCAAAGACTGTGTAAAATAGAAATTTACAAGTTGACTTTAAAATTATGTGGACGTGCCAGACACAGAATAGTCAGTCTTGAAAAGGAAGAACAAATTCAGAGAACTGATACTACCTGGCTGCAAGATTTATTGTAAAACTGCAGTAGTCAATACAATGATATTTATATAAGGGTATACAAATAGATGACTAGAATGGAATGCAGTTAAGAAATAGGCCCATATTTATATGGCCACTTGATTTACAACCAAGATACAAAGTCAGTTCAATGAAGAAAGGAAAATCTTTTCAACAAATGATACTGGGTCTATTAGATATCCATGTAGAGGAAGAAAAATGAAGGTCAAATCCTGTCTCACCCAATACACAATTTTTGAGGTGGATCATTGAGCGAAATGTACAAGCTAAAACAAAAATGCCTTTTAGAGAAACTCAGGAGAATATCTGTGTCTTTGAGGTAGGCAACAATTTCTAAGACAGGAGTATAATGACTATAAAAGCAAACATTTGATAGAAGTTATGAAAATTAAAACTCTTCATCAAAAGGTACCTTTAAGAAAGTGAACAGGCAGGTCACAGCCTAGAAGTTATTTGCAGTATATATGTACATATATGTCGTAAAGGATTTGTTTCCAGAATTTGTGAAGAACTGATAACTCATTTAAAAAACAAATCAATTTAAAAATGGGCAAAAGACTTGAGTAGGCACTTCACACAAAAATGTAAATTTTATAACATGAATATAAAAAATGCTCAATGTTTTCAGAGAATCGCAAAATAAAACCACAATGAGGTACTGCCATGTACCCACTAAAATGGCTAAAATCAAACATGCCGACATCATCAGGTACTGGAACTTATACTCCTACATTACTGGTTGCAGTAAAATAGTGCAGTCATGTTGGAAAAGTATTTTGGAGCGTCATAAAGTTAAACATATTTGCCCTATGACCCAGCAATTCTAGGTATTTACCCAAGAGAAGTCAAAACACGTCTATAAAATATTGTGTCAGAATGCTCATAGTGGCCTGTGGTAGGCAGAATACTGCCCCCCGCCCCCAGATGTCCATGCCCAAATCTCCAGAACCTGTGAATATGTTAAATTGCATACCTGGCAAAGGGATTTTGCAGGCAGACTCAGTTATAGATTTTAAAGCAGGGAGATTATTTTAGATGATCTGGGAGAGCCTATTGTGATCACATGGACCTTTAAAAAGTGGAAAAGGAAAGCCGAAGAGTCATGTGGCAATGTGAGGGGGAGCTGCTTCTGGTTCAGAGACGCGGGGGGCCGTCTTCAGAGGTCAGAGGGAGGCCTCTGGCGCCCAGACAAAAACTAGCAAGGAAACAAGGACTTCCCTTCTGCAGCCAAATGGACTGAATCCCGCCAGCAACCTGCATGAGCCTGGAAGCCGACTCTTCCCTAGAGCTCAGTAAGGAATGCAGCCTTGCTAACAGCTTGGTTTCGGCCTTGTGAGACTTAGAGCAGAGAAATTCAAGCTAAAATTGTCCCTGGGAATGTGGATTTTAACAATCTGCAGATAATCCTAGGATGACATTTTGAGAAACACTATTTTTCAATAATTTCATCCAAAGTTAATAGTTTCAACTAACAGTAT